GCCAAAAGGGGGCCACGTCTCTGCCAAGTACAAATGATCGTTCAGTCTTGTCCCTTTTTACGGAATCGCCGGTCTAGCAGCGCCAGGCGAGATTCACACGGGACGAGTCAATTCATATTGACGCAGCTGCCGCGAGTCGGCAGGCAGAAGATGAGCCGACAGCCGCGAGAGCGAGGACACTTGCGAAATCATTGTCGAAAGTTGCTTTGACACTACTCTGGTAATGGCATGGGTACACACGATGGGCGGCGGGAGGGGGGGAGGGGAGTCGAGTAACCGCCGAAATCGTTAACAGTAGAGCCGGGCCAGCGCGCGCCACGACTGTCGCAAGCAGGCGCGTTTCACAAATGGGTCAGGCAGCAGCTTGCGAAAACAAACAAAAGCCACATGCCGCATGAAGCACAGCAGCGATTTCCCTCGCGACGTCTCAGTTTTCTCCTTCGTTGAGCGGTTAACAGCCTGATTAATCAATAAACAGGCCCATCGCTTTTACTCTCCTTGGGCGTCCGACGGCGCGGAAGAGAAAGCCGCATCTGCAGAGAGCGCCGAGCGAGCAAGTGGTCGCGCCTCGACTGTAATTGTATTCAAATTCCTCGGCGAAACACTTGCGGCCGTCTGCTGGCGGACGCCGCGTGATATCGGCGCTTGCGCATCGTCGTGCCAAAGTCGCCAATTACCGGTCTGCGGAGTCGACGCTGCAATTATCAGGCCCGCTGGCCTTGAATGACTCGCTCGCCGAAATATGAAAGTGAAAAGAGCAGCGTCGAACTAGCTCGAAGCCTAGTCGATTTCGGACCACGGGGATCGCTATCGTCTTGCTCTCACGTTTTTCTCGCCCCGATAATTAAGCGTCGTGGCGATTGGCCGCGGATACCGCGGCGCCAGCGGCGGCGGCGGCGGCGGCGGCGGCGGCGACGGCAGCTTAGCGGCGACCGAGCGCGAAGCAATAAAAGTGAAAATTGCCGAGTGCGCGTCGTGACCGAAATTTCCTTTTGTTACGCCGCGCGCATTGCACACTGGCTTCGTTCTCCTTTTTTGCCCCCCCCCCCCCCTACCCCCGCCGGTCTCTTCGCTCTCTTGATTACGAAACGTCAATGCGCACACAGAACTGCCAGACTACTTTCAAGTTCACAAAATACACGAGCACATCGGGTTGCGTTGAATCTGAGCCGAGCAGACGCTGCTCTCGCAAGCTTACGTAAAGCGAGCGTCGGTCGTCAATCGGAATAATAAAATAATAAAACATAAAAGGCGGTGTACACGGCGGAGTCACAGAGATAGAGAGATGAATGATAAAAACTGGAACGAGCGTCTGTGGCTTTTACGAGCGCGGAGCTTTTGCCTCTGTTAACGACGAGGGCGAGCGAGAGATGCCTCGCGAAGGTCGAGCTCGTGCACGCGCGCGATACGAAATTCGCACTGGTTAATTTTCACAAAAGCAGCAGTCGCTTGACACTTGAATAAATATGCAGCAAAGCTCACGGGACTCGGCTAATTTATATCCATCGAAGAATCGGCAATCGAGCGGCAGCCGAATGACGTCGGCAGAAATGTATACCGACCGCACAGGTTGCGGGCAAAGTATAACAGCTTCAGCGCTGCGAAGAGACGAGGTCGTTTTCATACAAAACGATACGAAATATATTACGCGTCGATACAGATCTGCGCCGCACGTTCGAGAGCGAGAGAGAGAGAGAGAGAAAGAGAGAGAGAGAAATACAAACTAAGTGCAAGAGGGATATTGCACACATCGCAGTCGAGCCGCTCGAACGCGTGCGCGCGCGCGCGCGCGCGAGCGAGAGAGATAGCATCGCGGGAGCTGCCAGAGTTCGATCGGACAGATTAGTTATGTCAGCGCTCACGCCTCGCGTAATTCGGACGACTCTCTCGCTTGCCTCCGCGTAATAAAGCTTAGACCGGCACTGGGCTATCAATGGCAATTGAAGAGCCGTGACGCGTCCATGAAATACTTTCTCGCTCAATTGGCGCGGCGCTGTCTTCGGAGGAGCGCGCTGCTCGCAAGAGCCGCGTACAAACTCCGTCCGTGAAGCGGCGCATTAATCGTCGGCAATGCAAAGTGTAAGCAGGCAGCGCGCTCGCTTTGCTGCGGGCTGCGAGCAATTGGCACGCTCGAGAGGAAGTGGCCAACTAAAAGAAGGGCAGCGCTCGCGCCCGATGAAAACAGCTGCTGCCGTCGCGATCGCGACGCCTATATTTATATGTGCGCGCGCCCAAATAAACCCGCACCGGGCAGCGCTTGCGCGGAAAAAAAAAGCAGCACTGCGAGAGTCTCCGCGAAATATTGAATACAACGCGAGAGAGTTGGGAATTCTCGGCACGGAACGAAGTAACGTGCAAATAACGGATTGAGTGAAGATCAATATTGGCTCAGCTCGTGCCGTACGCGAAGAGCGACGAAAAAAGCGGTCTCATTTGCAGCAACAAAGCCGAGCTATAATGGATCGTTTCGATGCCAGGAGGAGAAGAGAGTCGCAAAACGCACGCAGCCGAGGCAGCCGAGGCAGCCGAGTCGCATTAAATCGGCGAGTTATGTATGGCATGTTTCGAGTCGATTGATTGATATCAGCGAGCGACCGCGGCGGATACGCGCGCTTCCTAAGAGCGTTTTAATGATAATGAGGTCGTACACAGCGAGGCAAGCAAAGTGGGTCATTATTCGCTGACGATTTCGGGCTGACGGCTCGGGAGAGATAAGCCCGCGCGCGCGAGCTTGTTCAGGCTCGGATGCAAATAGAAGGACTCGACGGCGGGGCAGCGAGCCGGGGTATAAAATTACCGCGGGCATCGCGGAGCAGAGAAGAGCTATCTGGCGCGCTCGGACGAGGTAGCCGATACTTTGTCTGGAATGCGAGCCAGTTGCGCGTGCGAAAGCTCTCTCCCGCGCGTCAGTTTATTTTCGTTGTTCTCACGTCCGCCTCTCGCGGGAAATTCCGCTCGGGCAATTTCGGCATTTGCATGGGCGCGCGCGCGAGCTCGCGAGAAACGCCGAGCGGCCGACTCGGCCGGGCGGCAGCGAGCGAGTTCCGGCTTCCGGTCACGGTCAGCGCGCCCATATCGACACGCCACTGCGGCCCAAGCTCGCCGGCTCTGCTCGGCGCTCTCGGCTAGCGGCGCTGCCAGCCGCCAAGGTGGAGGTCGTTACACCCAGCACTCGATCGAGCTGCCTGGCCCGCTTCTGCCTCGCGCTCTTCGCCCACGATCGGCGTCTATCGCGCCTTCGACGACTTATCGCGACGCCCGAACGAGCAAGGTATCTGCGTCGCGGTAAGCGAGGCTCACCGATAAAAACCACACGCACACGCGCCCAGATATGATTAACGAAGACCTCGAAGCTGGAAAAACCAGAGGCTGATGCGTCGACGCGATAAAGGCCCATGTCTATGGTAGAGGTGCCGACGAACGATTTTATCGCGAGGCGAGCGCCCGAAGAAAGTATTGGCGAGAAATCAATAATCGCTACACGGCGATGAAACACGTGTAGCAATTACAATTGTTTATCGGCTGCCAAGCAGAGAGAAAGTGCTTTATCTAAATTGAGCTCTTTTCTCGGTCTTGCCCGCGGCGATAAACCCAAATCGGCAATTCAATTTTCGATAAATGTAATGGCAAGAGCGAACAATCCATTGGCGAAGCCAGTGCGCGCGCTATCTCGCGATAATGAGCTCGCCGCTCTCGTCTTTCGTTCCTTCGCTTGGCTGGAGCTCTTTTCCGTTGTTGCGCGTATCGCGAACGCCTCGACGCAACACATCTGTCACTGCGCGGCCAGATGTCCGCGCACAATGAAGTCGTCGGAGCTCACTCGTTATTTCGATGGCAGACCGAGAGAGCGAGAGAGCGAGAGAGCGAGAGAGAGAGAGAGAGAGAAGAAGCGAAGCGATCCAAGTCGCGTGCCCGAGAACGAGTAATTAATCCGGCAGCGCGGGCAATCGATCGACCACGACTAGCACGCGATAGCTTTTTTTATTCCCCCGCTACTTCCTTTTTCCCATTTGACTTTTGAGAGCACTGGAGCGCATACGCGTGTGGTGCGCGCGTTCGTGCAATGTGGGGGTCCATTCACACGCGTCTTTTCTGCGGTCGCCCGGCAGCTGCCGCGAGAGCAGGCGAATTTCCCACGAGGCGCGGAGTTTGCAGAACTGGCTCGCTGGCACCGATCGATCGGAATCCTCGGCGTCCTGCCCGTACGTCGCGCGCGCGCTCGCGCCGCCAAGCTCTCCGAGGGGAGAGTGCCGCGATCGATCGCCTTTAAATGCCCAGCGCTCCCGGCGGCAGCGGACCTCGAGGGACATTTAACCGCGCTGCATCGAGGCACACTGGCTGTTTGCTCGCCCACTGACACTGTATCCAGACACTTGCACACTGCACTGAGTCACTTACGAGCTGACGCAGCAGCGGGGCACTGCGAGGGCTCGCCGCGACGACGAAGAAGACGACCAGACGCGTTCGAGGAAAGAGCACGCGAGCCGGAAATAAGCGCTCGTTCGCGACATCCGTTCCACAAAGTGCATTTCTCTCTCTCTCTCTCTCTCTCTCTCTCTCTCTCTCTCTCTCTCTCTCTCCCTCTCTCTCTCTCTCTCTCTCTCCGTCTCGTAGGTCGACGCGCGTGCACACCACATGTTCTCCGGTGCCTCCTCCCTTCCAGCTTGAAAGCTTTTTTGCCTGCTGCTGCTCCTTCTCCTCCTCCTCCTCCTCCTCCTCCAAGACTCAGCGTATCCGTGCGAGAGCGACGCATGCGCGCGACGGAGCTTGCACGCAGGTCGCGAGCGAACCCGAGAGAAGGAGGTAGCGGGCGAGATATGCTGTTTACCTCGTTGTGACTGGCTGGCTGACGCGATCGTGCGTGCGAGCGCGCGGCGCGTTACAAAATCCGACTCGCGTCAGCGTAGCGCAAGCTGCAGTGCGTCGCGGCGGCGAAGGAGCGCGCGGAGAGGCTTGCGCAAGGGCCGCGCAATGGATAATGGGGGGATGAAGAGACTTACGCTTTTCGCGCCTTGACCGACCAATCCATATCGCGCGAGACGTAGGAGACGAGCGCCTGTGCGCTCGCGTTCGCGGGACTGCTCAACCTCCTGCGCTTGACGGCGGCGATATTGCACTTGCGCACACAACACTGGCGTTTTTTGCCGGCGATCTTGTTGCTCTGGCCAACGGCGGCTGCGGCAGCCTCTGGCGACTCGGAGTGCTCGGACGGCGGCGGCGGCGGCAACGGCGGCGGCTGCTGCTGCTGCTGCTGCTGCTGCTGCTGCTGCTCGGACGTCGCCACCTTGGCCGCGTCGTCCGCAGCCGCGACTCGCTGCTGCTGGCGCAAGTGCTGGCTAGAGCGCCGTCGCTCCGACACAGGGGTCGCCAGCGGGTCGACACACGGCCGCGCCTCCTCGTCCAGCTTTACTGCCGTCGCTCGAGCTCTCGTGACTGACTTGTCGGGGCGTCGCGCGCGGTTGTGGACGCACGACTGGCTGCCTCGTTGCCGCTGCTGCTCACACGCGACTCACCGTCATGCACTGTATATCACCGACACACACTCGCCGCCTACGACCGTCGTTCACGCTGGGCCTCGTCGACGGCTGCTTAAGTCTGACTCGTCCTTGGCGATGATGAGTCGCGATCGAGCGAGCGAGCGAGCGAGCGAGCGAGAGAGCAGCGACGACGACGACGACGACGACGCCGCCCCAACGACGGCCGAGCAGAGACTGACTGGCGGCGAGTCGCGCGCGCGCACCAGCCGTGGTGGGGGCAAGCCCGCAGCCGCGCAGCCAGCGAGTGTGTGCCTCGCCAACGGCGGCGACGGCGGCGGCAGCGGCAGCAGCGGCGGCACGCCGAGCGAGCGAGCGGGCGAACGTTGAAAGAACCAGCTCGGCGAGCGCGAGTGCAGGCACAGGGCCGTAGCCAGACGCGGCGGCGGCCCGCGCTCCTCCCAACCCTTCTCCTCGGCGCGCCGGCACAGGGGCTGCCGCTGGCTTTTGTCTCTGCGTTGCCCATGCCTTTTTTCGACGGGAAAGGGGAGATGCGCGCACGGGTGTCATTATCGGGGCGCATCGGCCCGCCCGAGGCTTCGCTTCTGTGCTCCGCTTCGCTCGCTTTCGCTCGCCCTGCGAGCACGCGTGTGCCTGCGAAGAGACGCGCCGGAGCGCCGCTGCCCTTCGCCGCGCTCGCGTTCGACAACGCTCGACTTTCTTTGAATGGCTGCGCGGCATCTGCTTGGCCGCCGGGTCATCGCGGCGGCGGCGGCGCGCGCGCACGCCGCCCACCGGCCGCTTTACCATGCGAACCACGCAGGACGGTTCCTCGCGCCGCCGAGCTTGCACGCAAGCTCGTGTCGGGGAGGAGTACCAGTTTTCCTCGGCGTGCCCCCGTGTCTTTTCCAATCGGCGCGCGCGCTGCCAGATTTCAAAAGGACGAGCCTCCACTTCTAACCAGAGCGCACATTTCATTTGCGTTAATGGCCTCTTCGTACGGCTTTGTTCTCTTTGCAATAGCTGCTCTCTAGTACTTTTGAGAGCCGCGCGGAGAGTGGCTCGATCGATCAGTGGACGAGATGAAATTTTTCATCAGACAAGCTCAGTCGGTTTTTCCGTTAAAAACTCGGATAATCTCATCGGGCAAAATTCTCTCTGTCTCTCATTTATCGCTGGAAAAAAGGCCTTTTAAACGCGTTACAACATTTTTTTCTCCCGCTGTCGTGCTCGATTCGCACAGCCATTGGCTCGTGCGGCAGCAGCGAGATAGGGCGATTTAATGGCTAGAGCACATACACGTAGAGAGAGAGAGAGAGAGAGAGAGAGAGAGAGAGAGAGAGAGAGAGAGAGAGAATACACTGGGGGAGCTGCATCGCAAAGGGAGCTGTAGCAACGAGGGGGTAGTAACAGCAGCCCTCGGTTTTGATGGACCCCTCGGCGCTCTCTCGCTCGCTTGCTGTGCACGAGTGTGTCTGTCTATAACTTTGGTCCGGCCGATGTCGCCCGTCGAATTAATCCCAGAAAAGTCCACGATGCCGGGGATTTAACGTCGACGCACGGCGCTCGCACTCCCGGGCCAGACTCGCGTTTGTTTGTCCGCTCGTAATCACATCTGCGCATTTCGGCGGAGGCCGGTCTTTCGCCGCGAGGAGGAACGCGCACAGCGCTGAGCCGGCTGGCGCGCTGGCGCTCAAAATGAATGACGAAAGCGCAATTCCGCTCCGGTCGAAAGGCGCCTTTGCGCTGGGCCTTGAGTTTTTTCCAGTTGGCAGGCGCACGGGAGCGCGCAGGCGCACGGCCGTGTGTCGCCTCTGCCGGCGGAGCAGTGGCTCGCAGCTCCGCGCGCACGCGAAATTCGGCTCCGAGAGGGGCGAGAGGGACCTTTGGTATCGTGGCGAGAGCCTTGGGCGGCGGCCCAAGGCCGCGTGGCAGGGCTCGACTCTCTCGCTGGAGCACGCGAGCCGCGGCCCTTTTGGGAGCGCGCGCCGCCGCCTGCCTCGGGCCGCCTCGGCCAGGTAAAAGCGAGTTGGGCTCGGCTGAATGGAATGACGAATGCGCGCTCTCGCTCTATCTCCTTCTCCGCCGTTCTCCTTTCGCCGACGACGACGACGACGACGACGACGACGCCGACGCCGACGAAGGGAAAAGGTGAAAGGACCGCGATACGCTCGCACGGACGCACACGCGAGAGCCAACGGAATCCAGAAGTAGTGACCTTAACAGAGAGCGATGGCCAGTCGCGCGGCTCTATACCAAATTCTAAGTTTTTTTCAGCGGTTTGGTATTCCTACTACGTCTCGCTGCTGCTCGCTTGCTCGCGGCCACGCACGTTTTATTGTGCCGTTTCCGTTTGTGTGCTTTGAAAAATGTTTTCTCTCTCTCTCTCTCGTTCTCTCTGTCCGCGCTGCTCGCTCGCGCTCTACTCCGTTCTGGGGAATTCGGGAAAACCGGTTTTGGAGAGCGCTCTTTATTGCCCTCCTGATAAAAAAGAAACCACGACGCGGCGCGCGATGCTATCAACCTGAAATTCATTTCGGAGACGTAGCCGTGGAGAGATTAATAAAGAAAAGGGGACAGAAAAGAGCGCAAAGCTTTCGTGTGATTATATTTTCCGCGCGCGAGCCGACCATTAAGGGCGGAACTAATAATCCGCGCGACGGGGGAACGAGAAAAAAGAGCGCTGATCAAAGGCGTCATAGGCTCGCGGCTGAAAAGTTGATAATCCTGGAGGCTCGTTGTAATTCCGTCGCGATAATTAAATGAAAAAACGAGGCGCGCGGTGCTCCTCGTAACAAAGCTCTCTCGCAGGCACTTGGCCCAGCCAACGACCAACAGTACAATAAAGAGAAACGTTGCCCTTTGTCGCTGGCTGCGATCGGCGCGCCGCACATATACCTGATCCGCATTCTGGCGCTGCGTGTATCTTTAGGCCGAGCTGCGCATCTTACCTGCAACACAAATGAAAATAGATCGGTCATTAGAGGCTGCCACTGCAGGGTGGCGAAAGAGGGAGAAAAATGGAAGGGCGTCGGGACAGGTACGCGGGCCAGCTGGAAAAATGATGCGGCGTGGCGCAGCTCGGATCCGGGGGCACGAATCACGACGGAAAAATGCTGGCGTCGCGCCGAAACGGAGCGGAGCTGGTTGGCCGGAGAGAGAAAGAGGAGCGAGCGAGCTTCGTGAGAGAAAGAGAGAAAGAGAGAAAGAGAGAAAGAGAGAAAGAGAGAGAGCAGCCAGGCAGCGCGAGGCTCGGGCTTGAGAAGAATCCAGGCGGGTGCGGGGCGAAGCGCGCTCGCGGCGCATATACCTGCGCTGGAGCCGCCTCCTCTCTTTCTCTCCGGTCGAAATAATGAAGATAGAGGAATGAGATCGATCGCTCGCCAGCTGATACCTGCCCCGGCTCGCGGAAGAATCCCGCGACGAATCCCCGATGCTCGCGCTCGACGATCACGACAGAATTCTATTGAAAGTCTATCGTTTCGTAAGGTCGCGCAGCCTGCAGATCGATCTGCTGCTCTCTCTCGGCTTCGGCCGCCCGGTCAAGCATTAGAATGTAAGACAAAAGAATAGCGAAGACACATCTCTCGCGCGAGTCGTCTAGCGCATTGTATGCAAATGGCCGATTTAATCGATCGACTTGGCTCTCTCGCACGACTCGTCATTTTTCTCTCGATCGTCGTCGTCGTCGTCGTCGTCGTCGTCGTTATTCGGCTGTTTTTCAAATCCCATTCGCAACGGTCGAAGCCCATCGATGAGCGAGGCTGACGAGCCAAGTAAAAAACCCGCGAGAGCGTTGCACTCGTCACTGGATTTTCCGATTGCACGCGCCGCAGCCCGACAGAGCGACAGAGCGACAGAGCGGGGATTTAATTATTCTAGCGTACACGTATACATGGCTTCCGGGGGCTATCATCTTGGTGCGATATTACGACGTAATCACTGGCGCTTCAGCCGGATTAAATCCCTGACTCCGCCGGTAGCGAGGATTACGAATTTCTATGAGAGCCCGATGTAATTCTCGGTGGCGTGCTCGGATTTTTTTCTTTTTTTTTTACACGCGGCGCGTCCCGAGCTTACGTACGCGCGTTTCAATTAAAATGTTGGGTGGAAAGGTGGACCCGCAGTGTGTCGCGGTGCATTGTACTACGACTGAACAAGAAGAATGGAATCTTGCGTTTGGATCTGATCTTGACCTTGGACGCTTGTCTTGGCCTTCGATGCTTTCCCACGCGAATTAAGCGGAGAAAGGCTCGTCTTCGTCTGCCACGCGATGATCACGCCCGAAAAAGAGCTGGACCGAAAAAAGATCACTCCTCTCTTTCTCTCTCTCCCTCTCCGTCGAGCGAGCAAGAGAGAGAGGCCCCTCAAGGTTGCCGCAGCAAAAAATTAGCAGCGAGCGCTCTATGTAGAGGCGCGCGAGGATGTCGTGTGCGAGAGTACGCGAGAGGATGGGAATTGCTGCCAGGCACTGATTCGAGCCGCGCATGCCACCAACTGGCGCTGCACCTGCTGCCTGCCTGCTGGCGCTGCCGAGAGCGAGCGAGCCAGCCACGCGAGGCGGCAGTGCGCGCACGCGAGTGTTTCTGATTCCCGGAGCGCGACTCGCGCTCGCCCGATTCTCCGATCGCAGATCATCGAGATCGAGCGCCTCGCGATGTTCCCATTTGTTTGGTAGCAATGAGCGCGCGGAGTGGCGCAGGAAGCGCCTTGATACACGGCGAGGAAGGAGAGAGGATCGGGAGTGCGGGTCTGGGCGACGAGGAGGGGAAGCGTACCGCGAGGCGAAGAAAGAGAAAGAGAAAGGCGCGAGTGGAGCCGCGCGAGTGAATGTCAGCTCCGAAGGTCGGCTTTTGTCAAGTTCAGAGTCTGTCTCTCGCGACGACGCTGCTCGCTCTGCCTAGGATCGAGGCTATTTTCGGACTGCGCGCGCGCGCCGAGCGGCGAGCGAGCCCCGCTGGACTCGGCACTGCCGCGAGTCGGCGCACGTTAATAAAGCGGCGAGCGCGAGTGCGGGCATTGTGGAGCCGGCTTTGTCCGGCCTACGAGCCGCGGCGGCGTCCCTTTCCCTTCGCAGCTGCTGCCGCTCGCTGCTCGCTCTGGACGGATTGCAGCCGCGCACCCGAGACGGGACAATGACCAGACGCCGGAGACGACTTAGCGCTGCGGAGCGCGAACTATTCCCGTGCGCACCTGCGCCGCGTCCGCG